TCAGAATTAAAATTGTCACTTAAATATTGGGAACCAACAGGAGGTCGATAAATTGCCCCAAATAAAATATTCTTTGAGTTGTTTATAAGAATTTCAAGCCAAATACCTTCGACAGAAGTGGACTCTAGGTCCCCTCTTCTAAGAACTGATAGAGTGTCCCGTACAAAAACAACAACTCCACCACCTTTAGCTTGACGATCCCTTCGATAAGTAGTAAAACCATCTACTTTAATTTCATTATCTGAGACTGTCGACTTCAAGTGGGTTTCCGTGATTGCAAATACATCAATTTTGTTATGATGTTCCAATATTAAGCGTATTTCATCCATTTTAGGTAGAAGAGAACAAATGTTCAGATGAATAAATTTAAGACCCCGTTTACTTGATAAGTTCTTCAGCTCAGGAATGGCATACTCCAGTGAACTTTCTTCGTCAACATCAGCAGGAAGAGTAGTACAATTTGCACATGATTTTGATACCTCAAATTGAGGACCAATACATTTAAGATGAAAAGGATTGCCACACATTGAGCAATTTACATAGCCAAGGTTCTTCTTTAAAACAATCTTGCACTTTGAACACCTTGGTCTCAGTGAGCGACCAGAAGTAGCTTGAACACCATTGACTGGGCCAGGGTTGAGTTCCAAATCACCAGCTAAGTATAGTAGAAACAAAGCTATGCCAGATTGCCTTACGAGTTGAGAGGAAGCCAAAATAAGTATCGGTAAAGACGGAGTGTTATGATGTCGACGAGTTGATACGACACGTGTTGTACTTGTACTACCAATAATGTCGTATAAAGCACTCTTCTCCAGAACAATTCCAGTAGAAAAATGCTTCACAGGATATTTACCATGGAATGAACAATTAAAAAGAGCGTAAAATATAAAAAATATATATAAAATTAAAAATATTTTACGGAGCCCCCGTTCTGCGTGGCCACTCGTCATCTTGCTTCTTCTATTCACGAGAATATACAATGAGATATGGAGTAGCGGAAAATTGCTGCTGCCCACTAAAGTGGACAACGGTATACAGTCAATTCAAAAAACGTTGTCGTCGACCGGCTCAAGCCTACGCGACTGGACCGAAAGGAATATGGGTAAAAATCACATTTACAATATTTACAAAAAAATGATAGTTAAAAACCTCGTTAAAAATAGTCGTGTGATTTGAAAGCTCGACCAATCAGAAAAGCGATGTACACCTGGCGGGCGACACTTTTAGCATTACGCACAGGGTTCCCATGCGATGACCACGAAAACTGAGTTGCATAGTTTACCATATTAGGGACCTTAAGCTGCAGGACGGCAACGTGGGCGACAACGTGGGCGAAATTGAGGCGCTTCAACCTTCTATTGTATTATTATCTAGTGTTTATCTAGTATTTTACTCGATAAGCACCCCCGTTTTAGAGTGAAATGTCGTCTTTTGGGAGCGCTTTACTTAGAACGAAAATCAGCAAATGTAAGCTTTTGGCGTAGCCGTTCTCTTTAGTACGCAAAAATAGGACATTTCCCGTCTTACTTTCGGCATAAGACGGTAATGATGCATAGTATTTCGTACATTCCAACGAGTATCTATTGAATAGCGCAATTAGTGCTATTGTATATTTGCCGTCGTCGTCGTCGTTGCCGTCCTGCAGCTTAAGGTCCCTATTCTATACCGCGCGTGAGCTCCG